TGACAATTGACAATCCCATGGCACCCTTTGTAAGAGTGGAGGTATTAACCAGGCTTCTTCTGGCCTTAAATTGCCTCCCCCCTTGGAGTTGAATAAAGTATTTCGAATAGAACTGGATAAATTCCATTCCGGGATTGCACATTCCGTCTGTCATAAATTCCCTTTTATCTCCCTGATCTGCTGTGTAGTGGGACTGCTAAGTGGTACAAAATGGCTGCTATGTCACCAAGGTGACATATCTCTGCACTTCAGAGAGGAGGATTAAGTGAGCGAGGCAGCTGGAGCAGAGGTTCCTTGCGAACCTCAGATGGGGCTTCTCGTCGGCGAAGGAGCGCTGGAAGGGACTGTGGGCCCTGTACAGGGACTAAGGAGGAAAACCCTGATCCTTTGAGCTCCTGCGGAGGACTGGAAGCCCCCAGTTTCAGACCTGGGACAGGGAGAAGAGGCACGGACAACAGCAAGCTGTAGGGCTTGGAGGGACTCTTCCATTGCACAAATCCAGCCCCAGTATCCACTTGCTCGGTCAATCACCCTTTTGAAGAACTTTTGTACTATAGTTGAGATGCATGACTTGTCCGAGTGTGTACTTATTGTAAGATGTTTATTGTGAAATTAAGTTTATTTTGTTATAAAAAAGGGGGTCCCTTCTTTTGTGTAAAGTGCTTTTATCCTTTGGATCACACCCTGCATTTGAACTTCCAACTCTCCGTTCTGGAGTCTGGAAAGCTATAACTCAAGTCCTGGTCTTGGCGGGTCAGTGTGTCACGGATTTCCGATCCAGCTGGGTTTTTAATAACTTAATAATAATATTTCTGGACCCTCCACTCAAAGTGCTTTACAGGTAATGGGGACTCCACTCCACCACCACCAGTGTGCAGCCCCACCTGGATGATGCACGGCAGCCATTGTGCGCCAGTACGCTCCCCAAATCCAGTACCAGCTATCAGTGGGGAGGAGAAAATAGTGATGAAGCCAATTCATAGATGGGGATTATTAGGAGGCCATGATTGGTAAAGGCCATTGGGAAATTTGGCCAGGATGCTTGGGTTACACCCGTACGTGTCAGAAATAGTTTGAAGTGCAGGATTAGCTGAATCAAACTCTCTCTCTGTCTGTGTTATTGATACTTACAAAGCTCTGTTTGGAAGACCATCTGTGTAAGAAAGATGATGCAACATTTTAGGCTCTTGAATAAACATTAGCTGAGTAACAGCTCAGCTACACACATCCTATCATACCAAACAATCACAATAATATAAATGGCCCATTGGATCAAAGGTCAAGTTTATTAGCAATAAAAAAAACAATAAAAATCTTATTTCAACAGTATTAAAAATGCATTGATTACTGTAATTATACCATTGCTGTTTTCAGGTCATGCCTACTCCCAACATGAAGAATATGTTGGAAGCTATTCCAGAAGGTGAGGAAAAGACAGTAGTTCGCAGCAATGCCTTCACCACACATACAATTTAAATCCATTATTAAAATGTAAGTTGTTGTTAAAATGTAAAACTGAATGTCTGTAATGCCTACACATGCACACACAATCTAATTCTGTTGTTAAAATGTAAGTTGATAAATCATGCCCACAACATAAACACATACAGTAATTGAAATCTGTTATTAAAGAAGAAGCCTTTAAAACTTACAATGCCTATGCCACACACACAATTCTTAATCTGTTGTTAAAATATAGATTGCCATGCCTACAGTGCCTACAACAAACACAATTCAAATGTGTTTTTAAAATCTTAGTTGTGAAATGGAAAACAAATAAGTGGACATGTTTTCAGCTCAAAAGCTAAATTTCTAATTCACACAAACATTTTCCATTACAGCCCAATTTCTATGTTGTTGAACGTAAGAACAAAATAATTTATCTTCCTCACTAAAACAAACTGCTGCAGCCCTCCTGTATCAATTTCCTCACAAGAGCTACAGTCCTGCAAAGGTCATGGATTTAGACCAATTACTGTATCTTACCCTAATGGTAGCTGAAGAGGGTTTTATTAAGAACCTGAGAAATGTGATTCTGTGGCCTGCATTTAAACGTTTTACATAAAATGAACTGAGACCTACCAAGATAAACAATTTATCATTCTGAAATATCACATATTCTGGAGAAGGTTCACATTTCATATTTTTAGAAAACTAAATTCGCAAATTGCACTTATTAGTTCAAGCAAAATGTTCAGGTAGTGGTTCAGGAAGACAAGTGCTAGAAAGAACATGTTTGTTTTTACGACACTGCAATGCTCCCTAAGAATTTCAAGAAGCTTCTCTCATGTCTGACCCGTCCGCAATATAAGCCATGGATTGGTTTTGATAGAAACATTTCTGGATTTGTGTGCATAACTTACAAAAGAACAGAAAAAAATAAAATCTAATGCAAAGCCAAACAGTAATTTCTTCTTCAATTGAACCGTGTAGCCTTGTCATCTTATCGCCTTTTATCTGTAACTGATTTGCCTTTTCTCATCACGTCTACCAGTTCCAGCACGAACACAAACGAGATTATAAACAGCCAGGCAGCCCAATAATATTTTTCTCACTGCTCAATGATACCAGTTAGCCTGCAACGTGAAAACCAAAGTGAAAAGAAAATTTAGACTCAAGACGCATTTAAAAGGAAATAAAAACATGCAGCTGTCTCAAAAAGGTTAGGTTTAAAAGGAAAGTGTTGTAGGCAAAATGCCTGAGACTGCTTTTCAAACAATGTATTTCAAGGTTAATTGGAAACATACATTGCTTGTTATAAGGCAGGGAGTTCACTGACTCTCACTGAGCTGTTGGCAAAAAGAGGTCATAGTCTCAGTATTGCTAAAGACAGTAGATTAAAGATATCTCAGGTGGTATTTCCAGAAAGCACAGGGATACAGTATGCACCAGGACTGTCCAGTCCTGGCCCTGGAGCACTGCTATGCCTGCAGGTTTTCATTCCATCTCAGCACTTAACAAGCTAAATTACCTGGAAACTGGCTTAACTGGACCGATTTCACTGTTTCTCCCAGCTGTTCAGGTGCTGCTGTTTGAAAGAGGCTTGGAAAACGTGTAGACCCACTGGCCTTCCGGGATTAGGATTTGGCAATAGAGGCTTAATCAATTTCCCTATGGGATTAATAAAGTATTATCTATCTAAAGTCCTCATCCTGAAAGATTCAGTTTAGAGTGTTAAGTGTAAATGTCTATAATGCCTACAACACGTACACACAATACAAATCTGATGTTAAAATGTAAGTTGTTAAAACTTCCCTGCAATGGCCACCTCATCTCACTTCACCCAGGAATGATGTGCTACAGTATGTCCTTGCTTTGTGGAAAAGTATTATGGTGCCAAGAGCTCACCACACAACCATTAAGGCAGAGAAGTGAGTGGATATTCTTACCAAACTAAAGGGCTGACTGTATAAATAAGACATATATAGTACTTACCATCACATCTCATCCATATGAGTCCCAGTTGTTCTCCTGTCGCTATGTAGTTGTGTAGTTTATTTGTTTTTTTTTTCTGGTACAGTGAAAGCAGCGCCACCTACTGGTTGACCAACACAAGTAGATTTTCCTTATATGCATTGTGACTAAAACATTTCAGTTAGTAGCATTAAGGACCTCTGAACTCCAGATCGGTATGATATGGATTCAAATTAAAGTTGAAATGTTTATGGAGACACATGATTTTAATCTTCCAGGCAATGTGAAAAAGTGATAGACTAGGAAAGTGTGCCTAGTCACCTTATTACAAAAATGTTTTACTGCTCTGTAATCATTGCAGAGTAAAGAATACAGATAAATTTCTGTATGAAAAAATAATGAAATGCCTTGCGCTGGCAGACAAAAAGAACTGAATCTTTTTAGCCTTGATAACAGAAGACTACCTATGGACCTGAACTCTAGGACCTATATTTAAAATCCTCAAGAGCGTTGATGAAGTCAACCCAGTGGAGTTCTTCAGATTCAACAGCAAAACACAAACCCAAAGACACAACTGGAAACTATAAGGAAATGCTCTTAAAATCGAGAACATGCTTTACACAGAGGGCTGTGGGAGTGTGGAACAAGCTACCCAGCCATGTTGTTGAAACCAAAAAAACAGTAAAGTGAGATCCTAGGATAAGTTGGTAGCTAATAATACAGTCCATATGGGCCAAATGATTTGCTCTTATTTGTAATCATTTTATGATTAGCAGTCAGATAGGAGACTACTTTGTAGCCCTGAGCAAGATTCATTCCAAACTGCACCCTTGAATAATTTGCACTATAGACAAGTACTCTCCAGGTTGTTACTGAAAATGAAACTGTGTTTGTACAAGACTGAAGAGGGTAAATAGAATCAGATTAAAAATGGCTATATATGTAGATTTATTATTATTTCTTTATTATTATTAGCTATTATGTTTATTGCTTAAACATGGATTTTTTTTCTTAAATCCATATAAGGTGAGTTAAATAAAAAATAGTCAGCAACAGGCCTTGGTGATTAATCGGCAGTTGTTTCCAAAGTTCACAAAACTTCTGTTGTGTATTGTTCAGAAACATCTTATGGAGAATACGAGATACTCCATACAGTAAGTTACCTATTATAAACTATTCGGTACGTATGTTTTAACATTGAATGTTAAAACGCTCTTTACCTATTTTTCTTATCAACACATAAACGTGCATAAAACTGGGACTGTTCCTTCTATTTTTTGCAATAGTTTGCAATATATTCACACTCTGTAACCGAACACACTCTGTAACTCTGTTGTCATTATTGAATAGGGCGTTTCCGGTGGTTTCTGGGAAATGTCGTTCTTTGCTGGCTGCTATGCACAAAAACAAACAAACTGGCATGATATGACACGGAAAATGGGAAAAAAGTGACGTACAAATAATAAACACACATTTATCATATAAAAATTACATTGTGTCTGGAAGCATTAAGTCGTTCATCGGGCACCGAAAAAAAGGGGAAAGTTTGCGTCACCCGGAAGAAGAACTCCGGACGACCCTGGCGCGGTTGTTGAAAACAAACCCGGTTTTAGGAGACAGGAGCTGATGGCAGTTTAACTGCAAAGATATGGTTTTGTCTTTGGCTCAGTACGAAATAAAGACAATATGGAGCTGTCTACGCTGATCAAGAAGATTGGTAAGCATTTAGCTTCTTCTTCGATTAGGCCTATCCCCCCTGCATTTGACTAATTTAATAAATCTGGTAGATTTTCAGAATATACATATTTATTTGCAAGCGTACTGTGTCGTTTAGATATTAAAGTATTATTTAGTTCACTACCGCCCACGATTTAAGAATAAAGCAGCTCCGTGTTTGAATTAGGTATTAGTAATGCATTATATTTACATTCCTTTTGTTATTAAATGTAACTAACAACTCGTGTAGTTGAAGTGGATGAATTGGGTCTCATTATGTTGTCTCCAAAGTTATCAGTTGTCAGGGTTACCAAATGGAGAGTTTAAAAAGCTAGGCCAGGTCTATAAAACGGCGATTATTTAATCGTATACAAGTAGAGTTACTTTTCTCCTTAAAAAAAGTAAAGCTGACGGATGACTGTGACCCCAACTCAGTTGTAGCTATACTCGTATTGATCTAAGTTCAACAACATTTTTGTTATGTGCACAATTTCTTCAGTGCTTAAAATCTCTTTATTCACCATTTTCTCCATATAGCCATTGCGATGATTTTCTTTAAATCATATTTCAAATTATTTTTGATTTAATATGTGGACAGCAGTTTTACCACAAGCATCTCTGCGGAACCCACAGATGACAGTGGTAGTGTCTATCTACCTAAAACAGTCGTTAACGGGGTTTTTGGTTAATGAGCCCAGCGCCCTTTTTATGAATTATACATTGCGATTAAGAACGGTAAGCTCTCGAGTTCCTTTGTTATAAATGCATTTCAACGGTTTGTTGATTGACGTTTCAGACGTGTTTGTATTTGGCAGGTCACCCCCTGGTGGAAATCCGAGAGCGAGCCCTGAAGAACATCGTATTTAAACTGGAACACGCCTTAATTACTGTTCCCGACCTTGCCCAAGAGAAAATGCTGTTTGTTTCACTGCTGGAGTGGTTTAACTTCCCAGAGGTACCTACACCAGGAGAAGTGATGGGCCTCCTGAATGTCTTAGCCAAAGTAAGTTTGCCAAGGAAGAGAGAGCAAGGCAGTTCTTAAAAGAATGATGCCTTAATAATAATAATGATGATAATGCAATTCATGAAATAAATCATTTAAGAAACCCGAGATGTATTTATTTGTTAGTCCTGGTATTTGTGTTCATTGATAAATGTTTCAGGGATTTGTGATCTGAAAACCTAACAGAAAAATGCTTGCAAGTATATAACAATCCTTTCATTCATGGCATGATAAGGAGGCACAACTAACCAAGGACTGTGCGACAAACCCTGACATTGATTATGATCGTTGAAAGAAAGGTTGTGTTGAGAAGTGTTAATTAGTTGTCCTGGAATTATCACTATTATGAGAGAGTGTTGGAGAGTGGCACAGTGATTCAGTGGTTAGCATCACTGCCTAAGAGCGCAGAGTCCCAGAAGCCCTGGGTCCAATGCAGTGCTACCTGCGTGAAGTTTGCATGTTTTCCCCGTGTCTGCGGGGGCTTGTTTCGGAAGCTCCAGTCCTGTCCCACAGTCCAAAAACATATTGGCTTCTGGGAAAATTGGCCCAGAGGGAAGTAAGTGCATGTCTATTTTTGCATGTACCCAGCGATGGACAGGCGTCTCCTCGCTTCCCGGTAGGGGTGCACGATGTATCAGAGGCTGATATACAGTATTAGTCTCCGATGAATAGGAAAATGTAATTATTCTAATCGTCCCGACAATGTAATTACAGCCGATAATTACAACCGATAATGCTGCGCCCTTATTTTTGTTGGCGCAACTAGTTTTTTTTTTATGTGCACACACTGGCGCACTAGACTGGGGACCGTACAGCTGCTGCAGGGTGCAAATGTCGGCGGTGTGGAACGTTTTCACCATTTCCGCAGAGGACAACAGAGCTGCAATGTGCAACAAATGTGTTCAGCCGAAGTACGACGAGGAGGAAACAAAATCAAGAGTTTCAGTACCCCTAATTATCAAGTTAGTCATTGGATAACTCGTCAATTTAAATTATTTAAAGAATACGAGGCAGCTAGCATGGGAAAAAAAAGAGTAAAATGATCGGTTATCGGTATCGGTATCAGCCGCAACAAGCTGTTAATTGTCGGTTATTGTTATCGTCCCAGAAACTCCATATCGGTGCATCCCTCCTTCCCGGGATAGGGTCTGGCGCCCTCGCGGTTACAAAATTGATGGGTGGGTAATGGAGTGTAGCCCAGCTGTCAGGTCCTTCTGTGTGTTTCCCTGCAGCACCCGACGGCAGCGCAGCTGCTCAGGGAGGTGGGAGCAGTGGAGTTCCTGTCTCAGCTTCGGCCCAGCGTGGAGCCAGAGCTGCAGCCAAGCGTGGATGGCATCTTGGACAGGCTTTTCCAGCTCCCAGAACTCCCTCCTGACTGTCCACAGGCCTTTGACCAAGGGCAGGAGCTGGCAGCCGCTGAAAATAAAGGTGCACGAAGATGAAGTGACTCGGCTTTGGAATTGATTCAGTGGTGTTTTCACAACTCATCTTGGAAGACCAGTGAAATTTGTGTCACATTGATTCTCCTTTTGTGTGCACGGCTGTTTGCGTGGGTTTAGATTACGCGGGTTAGTTTTGGAGATTAGGCCCTTTAATACAGCTTTCTCACCACACCCTTCTTTCAGCTAGTTCTATAGTTGAAACGACATAGCCGATGTTAATTTTTGGTTCTTACTGGTTTTGTGCCAGTAGAAACAGTTCTCTGTGAATGTAAGAAAAAATCACTTTAATGAATTGTTCTGTTTTCTGTATTTGTCTAAGGTATATGTTTTAGCTTTATTTCTCTCAATATTTCTTTTTCGAAGTCCTTCTTGAGCAAATAGAAGAGGTGTCGCCAATGATGGGATATTTCCAGAAAAGTTCACGAGACACAAGGCAATCGGCTATCGCTCCACACACAATAGCAGGTAATAGCTCAGCTGGGCCGAGGAATATTCTGTGGTTTACTTCATGGTCTGGGAACAAGATTGTCAAAGAATTCAAGGAAGTCTTGTTAAATCCGTGGTTCCTCACAAGCTCTCCTGCCGGTTTATTGGTCTGGGGGTGACAAGTGTATTAGTATCTGACATGACAGATGGATTTTCATTTACATGTTTCTCTTACTGCAGCAATTCATTGGTATTATGAGATACTGTATAATTATAGCTGTCTTTAGAACTTCGCAGGGATTTTTCAAATACATCTGTGAAAGTCTTCTCCCTGTGATTCATTTTGCTGGTGCAGTCAAGCAACCTGCTATTTCTCCTGCAGTTTATGTTCCCTTGTAAAGAGGCTTTGTGTTGCATGTCTTGTTTCGACAGTGGGCGATGCAGTGAAGTGCTTGAAGTTTTCCACTTTTCCCTGGTTAGCTTTGACAACAACGGATAGACATATATTGTCATCAAACGAAAGGTAAATTTCAAAAAGTGTTAATTCCACACTTAAAAACTAAACGCTGTGGCTCTTACGTTTTCTGCGGGTACGCCTATTGAAGGCTTAACTATGGAAGCC